ACTGTCTGTGCGACTCCATTGAACATATCACACACTCACTCTGTACCAAAGAGTTCCAGGCCAGGTATACATGAATTATTAGGTGATGTGTTGAAGCTCAGCTGTAATCATAATCTTTCTTGGGGGCATACGAATGCATTGTAAATGTTCACCTTCTTTGTTGGTTCCTTCTTGCAATAGGCGATCATCATATTTCTGGCTGTGCAACGCTCTGGATGTGTACTGCCCTGTGCAATGGGAATATGGGCGTTTGAACCTCACCTACACAGTCGTGTCCAAGAGGAAAATCATCAAACTGGTAGAGACCGGCGTTGTCAGGTAAAATAGAATTTCTTTTTGGATATTGTTTCCAGCATGTAAGCATTTTTTAACTATTTATATTACATTACATTACTATTACAGTAGGATTGACTGACAAAAACATATTAAAATGATTTATTATTGGATATTATATTGTAGCACAACAATATTTAATTAAAAATGAAATTTTGGCAAACATCTCATTTGCGCCTCCTGCCAGAGAGAGAAAAATACTGACCTTTTATTAAGCAGATTGGATATCAGCCAGATGTGACGATCCACATTTGTCGATGTCATTATAAAAGTGATGCCCTACACACAAGACCGAAGTGAGTTTCATGCCGTGTGGTATACGGATTTTACCTTTGGGGAAAAGACAGCAGATATTTATATCCGGGGCAAACAGATGAGGCGGCTGTGGCTCAGGAGGTAGAGCGGGTTGGCCGTTAATCGGAAGGTCGGCGGTTCAATCCCTGGCTGCGTGTCGAAGTGTCCTTGGCAAGATACTGAACCCCGAATTGCCCCTGTATGTGTATGAATGAGTGTGAATGTTAGTTTCCGTTTGAGCACTTAGGCTCAGTGTATGAATGTGTGTGACTGGTGAATGCAGATGTAGTGTAAAAGCGCTTTGAGTGGTCGAAAAGACTAGAAAGGTGCTATACAAGTACATTTACATGAGAAGTCATTAAACCACTGAATTAACTTAATTAGTGCATCAATACATCATAGTGAGTATGCATCATTCTTAAACCATTCATTCAAAAAAGTACCACTACTAATATACTACTACTAATACATATAGTATATGCAAAAAGGGCCTATTAACTGTGTTGTATGAGTATTTTAATCATATTGCTCCAGAGTGTGGCTGTTATAAATGTTCTGCAATGTCAGGATGAAATTATACCAATGAACTCAGCAGTAATATGAATTCTATAACTGAAAAGGAATTAAGTCCTCTCAAGCATATTAAAAGCTACCACAACTTTTGTAAAAACAACACGGATGTCTCTCAGCATATATATAAATCAGACATCATGTGTGAATTTAAACCATATATACTTCTCATTGTGATTTGGTGTACAGCATTTCAACAACAACTTCTTGTGTCTCGTCTTCATACAAGGTTAGGTAAGTATAAAGTTATCTTTTTAATTACAGAGACTGGGATGATCCCCGGCTTTTTACTTTGACTGCGCTCAAGAGAAGAGGTTTCCCACCAGAGGCAATCAACAACTTTTGTGCACGGGTAAGCAGAACGGATGGAAGAGTTGGGGAACTAGTAAAAAACATGCATGAGGACGGTGATGTCGTGTAATAACATATGTTACATCTGCTCGCAGGTTGGAGTCACAGTTTCCCAGACAACGACAGAACCCCACCTTCTGGAGGCGTGCGTTAGGGAAGTGCTGAATGACACAGCACCCAGAGCCATGGCTGTGCTGGAACCGCTCAAAGTCACTATTACGAACCTTCCTTTGAACTCAAAGGTTTGTACAGTTTGACTTTACACATTAAACTGCTTAAATTTTTAATAGGCTGTATGTTCTGTCTTTTACATGATATTTAACATCATGGGCACTGAATCTTCCTTCTATTATCCTTTTCTGTGTCAGTCGGAAGTACGAGTACCAGACTTCCCTGCCAACGAGGCCAAGGGCAGCCACGTGGTGCCATTCACAAGCACAATCTTCATTGAACAGAGTGACTTCAGAGAGGTTAGAGAGAAAAAAATGCAAAATAAAAACCCTCACAGTAAATGTAGCAGGCTGTCCTTGTGCAATTTTTGGACTGTGTACAGAAGATGATGATGGACTGATCTCCTTTTGTAGGTAATGGAGAAGGGCTACAAGCGTCTGACCCCAGAACAGCCTGTAGGTCTAAGGCATGCTGGATATGTCATCTCTGTCCAGAAGGTCATCAAGGTGAGCAATTTAATTTACTCGCTAGGTGTGGTGAAAAATTACATAGTGGGCTAACAGCAGCAGTCCACAAAGAAAAAATTAAAAACAGCTTTGTAGCACTTCCGACTGCACTTTGACTCTTAAGTAATCAGGTCGGCTGAGTCAATTAACTCTTTTAAGTCCCTTCTTAAAACATACTTTTATAAGAGAGCCTTTCCCAATTTTTATTTGACTTTATTTTATCCCTTTTATTTTATTCTATTTTACTAATTTTATATTTATCTTAAACGTGTATTTTAGTCTTTCCAATGTTTTCTTGCTTTTATCTTGTATTGTTTCTGTATTATTGTTTTTTGGGTATTATTGTCTTTACACTTGTTAAAGCACTTTGTAACTTGTTTTTGAAAAGTGCTCTACAAATTAAGATTATTATTATTATTATTATTATTAAATGGCTCAGCAGTTAGAGCAGCATGATTGTAAGTATGATCCCTGCCTACTCCAGTCCACACATCGGGAGTGTCCTTGAGCAAGGCATTGAACCCCCAAATGCTCCTAGTGGTTAGGCCAGCACCTTGCATGGTAGCTCGCTCTGTGTGTGTGCGTGCGTGCGTGCGTGTACTATTTAACATATCATCCATGTTCTCATGGACATGCCCTGCTGACATCCACTTTGTTTTCTCAGGACGCTCAGGGCAAAGTGGTGGAACTGGAGGTGAGCTGTTGCAGTTCTGAGACTGCAGAGAAACCAAAGGCCTTCATCCACTGGGTCAGCCAGCCTTTGGTGTGTGAAGTGCGACTTTATGAAAGACTGTAAGTCACACAAAAAAAAAATCACTCACTGTCATTCACAACCCGTACTTGATGTAGAAAACTCACTTAACCAAAACGTCTCACTGTCTGTAGATTCCTGCACAAACATCCAGAGGATCCATCTGAAGTGCCCAATGGCTTCCTGAGTGACATCAATCCCGTGAGTACCTCTTCACTCCTGTTTGGATTAACAAACACATTAAAATGGGCGTAGTGACTGTTTTTAATGCATGTCTTAGTGTAATTTCTTAATGCATTTTTGTTATGTAGAATTCCCTGCAGACGATAAGCAATGCCTTAGTGGATACCTCTGTGAAGGGAGCAAAAGTTTTGGACAAATACCAGTTTGAGAGAGTTGGCTACTTCTCCGTGGACCCCGATAGCACCCCAGACAAGGTACAGTAAGATTAAACAACTTTGAAACTGTTTTTTTTATATAGTACAAATGTGCTTCTATTATTAGTTAATTTGAGTAATAATTTTGGCTTTCTTTCACTGCAGCTCGTCTTCAACAGGACAGTCACCCTCAAAGAAGACCCTGGGAAGATCTGATTGGCTGAGATCAAGCCTCACTTCTTGCTTCCCATGAGCCCACGGATACATATGCAAATTGTTTGCATCACTTAATGTGTGACATAAGCAAGGGACTGCCTAGCCTGAGACTGATTCAAATCAGATACGTTAATATTTACCTAATTATAATTCTCTTGCATAGATCTGTCTCACTGAAATTGGAAAATATTAATCTATTTCTTGATTGTCGGCTGGGAATTCTTCATAAGAGAATTGTGGCCAGCAAAATTACTATAGTATTACTTTGCTCAATCTCAAATTTGGTTGGTCAGTGTCAGACTCCTTGATTATTTTATCTGCTGCAATAATATTCACATTGTTTCCTCTTTGTTGAATGTGTGCAACTTTTGATCATTTTTCAACAAGGACCTCCTCTATGTTAATTTAATATTGGCTGTAAGCTTACACAAGGGCGATGCTCTCAAATGTCATACATGACTTTCCTACAAAGGTGGTGAGTCACTGCCAAACCTTTGTGTCTTTTTAAGACTCAGAGAGGTGCCAATGTCAGGAGAAAATAAATAACAAAAATAAATATTACAACAAAAACCTGCAATGTCTCTGTGTTAATAACCTGAATCTGATGCCAGTATTCTGCTACCAGTGCTATTTTAGACCATAATATTTTACTCAGTAATCGGTAAATGTTTGACTTAGTATGTGATGATATATGATTGTAGGTGCCTTAACACACATGCATTAAATCTAGGGGTGGTGACTGTATCATAAGGTAACGTGAACATGTTATTATAAAACACAACCTGATGCTAATAATGATTAAGTATATTTTGCAGCATTGGTTTCTGTGGCTTATTTGCCAGTTGAGTGTTAAGCAACATAATCTACAATCAGGCAAATATTGACAGAAGAAATACTGGACCAATACTAATATATCAGTCAAAAATGATGTTATGCATTGGTGCATAAAACTCTTTTGAATGTAAAGGAAATACATGTTTTTAGGTTGCAAAATGTTTAAACCTTATTTATATTAAAAGGTAAAGAGATATCCTTTATTCCTTTTTCCCAGTAAGCAAAATATATTTACAGTATACTAAAGCAGGTGTTTGGTTCAAACAGTGAAATGCAGACCACGCTGAAAAGTAGTGCGTGGGAATTAACCCTCAACTGCCCAGAGCGTCCTGAGCACCACCCAAATACTCAGCGCATCTCTTCGGTACCACCTTAAAAGATTCAGAAGCCAGTGAACCACTAGGAGCGTCTGTCTGGCACAACTGGGTTTTAAGGTTGACTGATATCTACCCGATCTTGTCGACTACTTTGCCCGTGTGTGTCGCCTTTAACGGACTACCCTTCAGGCGTCAGTTACCGCGATATCATGTGGTGGAAATATCGCGTCAGCACGACAGAGTTACAAATCGCTTGCTTATTGGTCTGAGGGAAAGTGTTGTAAGATGGCGCCCAGCGAAATATGAGTGGATAAGAAAAAGAAAAACTACAGCTAGCCATTTGACGAAAACCACGACAAATAAAGAATACATCAGCCACAGAGAAACGTTAGTAGCACCTCGCTTTTCTGCTCATTGAAAGAGCAGTAACGTTTCGAGGGTAGAGAAGCGTTTGTGGGCGGCTCGAGCCTCGGCCCGGTTGAGGAAGAGAGGTAACGCTAGCTAACGCGCCTGCTAAACGTTAGCCTGCTAGCTTTGGATATACCAGAGAACACAAATAAATGCAGTTGGGGTAGCGTTAACTGCAGGAGAGAGGTACCCAGGTTTCCGATGCTTTCTGTTTATGTACCACCTGCTACGTAACGTTAGCTCTTGTGTTGTTTGTGCACATGATCGTATTATTACACTTTGCCAAACACAGCTGTGGCTGGATCGTATTTGCAAACAACACGCGGCTAACTAGCCGTGTACCTGGCTAACCTAGCTTGTTGTGTAATCAGCTGAAAGATGCGCCGTTATGGAGTCATTGCAAGCACATAGCCGTAACTCAATTGTTGTGTAAAACTTGCACGTTTTCATTATGTTAGCGGTTTCCGTCGCTTCTGTGAATACTGCATCGGATTTGGAAAGTGGCCGCGCTTTTGTCCCTGCTCATACACACTCAGCTAGAATTAGGTTAACCCTTTCGTATTACCATCTGTCTGTGTTGACATTGGAGCACAGTTTGTAAATACTTTAAAGATAAAACTGATGTCAGCACAGCGCTTTTGCTCCTTTTTATTTTTACTTAAAAAATGAAGTCGCTTTCTTCTTGCCTTTTCAAGTGCGTTTGAGTCATTAACGTTTTGACAGGATTGTTGAAATGTAATAAATTATATGGTTAGTCGTTGTTGATGCATCTATGTCACGTACCTAAGCATAAATGTAATTAAAAACAACCCCAAGTGAATCCTGCCTTTTCTCAAATCTACCAACAGAAGAAGACACTGTCAGCAGCAATGAACAACTCCCTGGATGGCACAGGCTCTTACGAGGAGCTTGTGAGGCAAAAGGCTCGGAGCATCCCTCAGCATCGCATGAAGGAGTTCCTGGAGTCCTTGGCAAGCAAGGGTCCAGATGCCCTGCAGGAATTCAGTCAGCAAAGTGGAGATACCACCACCACCACAACCACTATGGTCTACCAACAAGAGGCGAACTGCATCTATACAGACAGCACAGAGGTGGCAGGGTCATTGTTGGAATTGGCTTGTCCGGTAAATGGTCTAAAATGGTGACTAAATGGTCACAAAACATTCTGTTAAAGAGCCCTGTCCTTGAAATGAAGCTCTTTTGACAGACACTGTCTTCTGATGCAGGTTCAGGTGCAGGTCCAGCCGCAACAGATACAGGAGTCCACATCTCAGCAGCAGTCTGTACAACAGAATACAGAGCAACAGATAGTGCAGGTTTGTACCTTTTTTTTTATTTTTTTTATTAGACCTTTGTGTTGTGTTTATCCCCTAACCCTGTTCCATTCAATCATTGGTCAGGTCTAAATTTGGCCTATTGTTTCTAATTTCAGGTGCAAATCCAGGGCCAGCAGCAAGGCCAGATGCTGGGTCAGGTCCTCCAAGTGCCCTCTGGCTCCCATCAACAGCTTCAAGGTGTGACTACTGCACAGCTGATTCAGCCTGGGGACCTCACAGAGGAGCAGCACCAGCAGGTACATTTAAGCACCCCATCATCTAGAGTTTGAATGTTAGGGATACACTGTTCGGCCACTAAAATTAATCGGCCGGAAATAGCAAAAATAGCACTTTCGGTGTTCGGCCTAATAACTCAAAAGACTGATTAAATTTTATCAACAATTACATTGACATGTCGGCAATGTGGAAGTATTTTAAAGTATCCAAGAAAGATGCAAAAATTACCGTTTGCAGACACTGTTCTGCTGAATTGTCTCCTAGCACATCCACTCCATCTGAGGCTAACGTCTTAGAAAAGGCAACAAACGGTCTGACCCGCTTTGAGTGGTTCTGTCACTCGTTTCTGAGAAGGCGATTAAGCTAGCACCTAAATTTGGAGTGAACACATACTCAAGCCATTATGATAACTGTATCGGACCAGAGCGAGCTGACAGGCAGGTTAGCGACGTAATCCTGTTAGTTTCTCTCTTTACAAAGACATGTTTTTCAGTATGAGAGTCCTACCTGAAGAGAGGCTGTGAAGTCTTCGTATTACGCGACACGAGAACCACACAACATTTATCATATTGGGTCGGACTTGATGAATTTAGTGCGAGGATGCACATGTGACGTCCAGTTTTCTAAATAAGGTGTCTATACAGTATGAAAATAAGATTAATTGGATTATATTCACAGAAAGTCTAAAACATATTACATTATGTGTACATTAAAAGAAAATGTACACATGTAATTTACTTACCGGAACCTCTTGGGCCTCGGACCTACCCACCGTAGTCTCTCCAAATCTTTCGACTATTTAATCAATGCAATGGTAAAAAAAAAGGCAAAATAAATGGAAAAGGTGTGAATGTACTTGTTCAATGTTTGGTATTTGGTTTCGGCTTTAGCCAAGAATTTTCATTTTGGTGTATCCCTATTGAATTTATCGTCCCTCACCCATGTGTTTTAGCTGCAAGCCCAGTTGGTGGCAGCCGTTGCAGGAGGACAACAGATCCAAATTCAGACAGTGGGGGCCCTCTCTCCCACCCAGCAGCAGGACAATGTTGAGAGGAGGGTACTGGGAACCACCGTTGCTACATCACAGGGAGCAGGGGTCCTCCAGCCAGCCAAGAAGCGTAAGGTTGACATGCCCATCACTGTGTCCTATGCCCTGCCTGGTCAGCAAGTAGCCACAGTCCTGGCCATCCCTCAGGGACAGGGCCAGCAGCAAAGTTACGTGTCACTGCGGCCAGACCTCCTAACCGTGGACAGCTCCCACCTTTACAGTGCTACAGGCACTATCACCAGTCCCACAGGGGAGACTTGGACAATCCCTGTCTATTCTGCTCCTGCTGGTTCCGGAGGCCGTGAGCAGGTCACGCACATTGCCATCCCCCAGGAGGCTTATGGAACAGTGCAGGTCGCGGGAGCAAACACTACAACAATGACCACAATGCCAACGCAAGTTACTGTTGAGAACGACAAGCTGAAAATCCCTGCCAGTCAAAGTCAGACAGCGCAGGCCGTTTCCAGCATAACAAGCTCTGGAGGAATGGGAGGCCAAGAAGAAGTGGTGCACACACTCGCTGCAAACACACTGTTCCCAGCCCAGCTGATGAATGGAAATATCCACATCCCTGTGGCAGTACAGGGCTACTCCAATGCTACACAGTCCCTTATCTGGGATCCACAACAACAAGTGCTGCACACACAGGGTCTGTCAGGGCAGGACGCACAGCAGCTGCAGGTAAAAATGAATACATTCACAGTTGTTGAGCTATGTTAGTCTTTTATCATGGTTAGATATAAATATAGACCCGTATCTCTTGACAACAGTGTTGGTGTGTGTCTGCACAGGGTCAGACAGTGGTAGCAGAGGTAGATGGCCAAGGACAGCAGCAGGTGCAGGTGCAGGAGCTGCTGCTGCCTGCCACTCTGAAGCCAGAGGAAGGGCTGGACGTGTGGCGGCTTTGGGCTCAGCGGAAAAATGCAGAGTTGGACAAATCAGACAAAAATAAACTGGCACCAATTGGCCGTACGTGCATATACACAATGTTCATTATAGTGTCAAAACAATATTTTGTTGTTTATGCACATAAGTGTATTGTCATTATCTCGTCTCTGTTTTCATCTGTTATCCCAATCGTGTGTGTGTGTGTTTTAGGACGCCAAGCACTGCGTTTCCAGGAGGACTTGGTGTCGTGTGCGGTAGCTGAACTCTGCATCGGTCTCTCTTTGATGACAACAGAGGCTCGGGGGCTGGAAGGGGAGACTTACGAGTCTGATGTTCTCTACTATGTATTTCTGTGCATACAAAAAGTAAGTTCGCAATGCACACACCTCCATCTCTGTTGATAGTCATTGGATTTGATGTGGAAACACTGTTTGACTTTTCTTTCTCCAATTACTCTCCTACAGTATCTGTTTGATAATGGTCGTGTGGATGACGTTTTCTCAGATCAGTACTACACTCGCTTCGCTCACAGTCTGCACCAGATCTTGGAGCCTTGGAGTCCATCTATTCATCCGCTAGGTGTGAACAAAATTTGTTTGCCAAACTTTGTGTGGACCTTCAATGTGTGTTCCTCTGTAATTAACTTAATGTGTTATGAACTCATTTTATCTCAGGTACAGTGCAAAATTGTGAATACACAAGCCTACTATGTTAGGGGTGTCACCAGGTCTCTGCCCCATCTCTATCCAATCTGTTGATATTTTTCTCATTTTTCTTAAATTATGCAGCTACATAGTCCAGGTGTAGGGCTCAGCCCTCGTCGTTGATCAGACACACAGACCTGCAGCTCTTTATACATCCATCACACAGACAGAGAGCAGTTTTCATAGAGTCCACACTCCACCGGCTAGCCAGAAATGTCCTGAACACAGCACTTATACAAACTGCCAGGTCTTTATACTCTGTTCTTCACCTTATCTACTAGGGTATATTATCCCCAGCCATGTGACAGAGGAGATGCTGTGGGAATGTAAACAGCTGGGAGCTCATTCTCCCTCCACACTGCTCACAACTCTAATGTTCTTCAACACCAAGTGAGTTGCACCATTTTCCCTCATGCAGCATTTACTTCAGTCATGACACATGAAGCATTTTTCTATAGTGCTTCATCGACCTGCAGCAATATTTTCTGTCTGTCTGTATCAGTTATCAACTATTAAACTAACCGCCAAACTTTTTCATAATTAATTTGAGTAATTTCTTAAGGGAAAAAAAAAAAGAAGAAACAATTAACCCAGAATCTAACGTGAAATTTTCTGGTTTCTTTAATTCTCCATGACAGTAAACTGAATATATTTGGGTTGTGGACAAAACAAGGTATTTGAGAACATCATATTGAGCTTTGGAAAACACTGATCCACAGTTTTTACCTTTTTATAGACCAAACAAGTAATCGATTAATCGAGAAAATTATCGACAGATTTATCGACAATGAAAGTAATCGTTAGCTGCATCCCTAGTTGTTATTTTAGCCCCTTTTCCCATTACCAGTACCAGCTCAACTGGCCTCGCCTTGACTCGGTTTGGCCGTGCTCCTTTTTCCATTGCAGATAGTACCCAGAGATAGTACCCTTCAATATAGCTGGCCGTCATAGCGACGCCACACACAACTGCCGCGGCATAATTTTCTATGCGACAGGCACCAGCAACCCACAAAAAGCTTTCTCTTTATTTAAGTTAAAACGTTTCAACATTACTCAGAATGTAAAGACAGATAAGCGGTATGAAAACTTTACAACTGTGTTTTCCTCTGTCGTTGTTGCTGCAGCAGTCTCTGTGACAGTGGGACTAGAGGGCTCTGTGAGCGGGCGGCTGGCTGGCCTCGAGCTCCTCCCACGGGTTGGCGCAGGCTTCCCCCGCCGCCTCTTGCAGAGCTCCGAAAACTCCGAAAACTTTCAAGCACATTTTTGCCCCACCATCACTTCTCATCAGCAATCTGCTGTGTTTTCACGTCACATTATAGTATCGCCTCAGCTCGCATAGAACCTCAACGGAGGTGATGTGGAAAAAAAGTAGGTACAGGTACAACTTTTCCACAAAGGAAAACCAAAAAAAGGCGAGTCGAGCTGGTACCGTGCAGTGAAAAGGGGGCTTATGTATCTCCCTTCTGCCCCTATTAGGGTGGGGTGATATGGCCAAAAATGTTATCACGATAAAATCTCATCATTTGTTACTGAAAATCATCACAGTAAATGTCAAATTATTATTTCTTTACAGTTTAAAAGCTCCTGAGTGAAAGTTGAAGAAACCACATGGTTAATTTTGGTTTTAAACTATTCTTTATGGTCAGAACATGACAAACACTTACCAGTGGATCACTTCATAAATCTGAGTTAGAACATTCAAAACAATTATGATTTTAATGACACATGCATGAGTAAAATTAAGTGAAATCTTTTTGTCCCTTTTACTCAACAAAATAAATATCTTAATAGAAAAATTAAGTGCTAATTCTTTCATGATTCAAATAAAATAAATCAAACATTTATTGAACATTTGTTATATTGCATATTTATTCTGTATATCTTAACAGGTATTTCCACCTGAAGACAGTGGATCAGCATCTAAAAGTGGCCTTTTCTAAGGTGCTGAGACACACCAGGAAGAGTCCCAACAACCCTAAAGACAAGAGCACCAGCATCCGATACCTTAAGTCAACAGAGAGGTTCATTGGACAGAAAGGTAAGGCGTGCACATGAACGGGTTTTGTGCTGTGGTATCATGAGAGGAAACCCCATTTTAAGGACAAATGATTTACTTACTGTATATATATTTTTCTTTGTTCAGTAACAGATGACATGTACTCAGAGCAGCTAGAGGACCCAGAGAACCCGCTACGATGCCCCATCAAGCTCTACGATTTCTACCTCTTCAAATGGTAAATATAAAACCATAGGAAGGATGACGAGGTGAATGTTTTTATCAGGAAACTTACTGCTAAAGTATGTTTTGAGGTGTTTGCCTTTTTATGTAATAAAACTTTAATCCAATATTTCAACAGTTTATTTTGTCAGAAAAAGAAAAAAATGTAAAATTGCTTATTTGTACTACCATGTAGTGTTTTCACTATGGCCAGGGTTAAGGTTATCAATTCATGAGTCAAGAGTTTCTCTTTTGAGGTGCTTCTGTTACCTTTTTAAATAAAACTCTTGTGTTTATGTAATTGACATGGGACGAGGAGTACATGTTACACTCAGTGTTCAAGTGGTTAAACACTGCTGCTAGGCAACTGACAAAAACATGGATTCTTTATAATAACTCTTCCATTTTCTCTTCTTAAAAATGGTGAATGATTTGTATGTTTTCTGCCACTTGTATGCTCAGGAACAAAGGCAACTAACTACTTTGCCCTCTGCTGTCTCTAAAAATAGCCTTCACAGCTTGTGAATAGGGAGAAAAGGGCTACTTAAAAATCTAAAAAGCTACAAAGTGTGTGACTTGACAAAATCTGTTTGCAGTGTGGGTACAAAATTATATTGAACACAATAAAAACATGCGCCATAAAAACGTCAAAGACATCGTCAGCACATGGCAGATACCCATTAGCAGTGGCAGAATAGATGGTGTTATGCACACAGACATATGGAAAACAAAACAGAAATAAACGGTACAAAATACTACACCGCACCAGCCTGCAGTGCTTTTTTGCTTATATAAACTCACTTATACAAACTAAACAATATAGAATTTGGGTTTAAATTTTAGCTCCAGTCATCGGCCCTTTTTCAACAATGTAAATCTTTTTGTTAATCTTGGGACAGGGCAAAATAAAGGAGAATATGTCAGTTAGAGGCCGACAGATAAATAGGCGTGCCGATATGAGCAGATAAATTGGTACCTGTGTTTCGGTACCAGCCTATAAATAACAACTAGAATAACGTGTTGTTTCATAGTTTTTCCACCAGAGGGCACTTTTGAACTCCACAAATCCACCACAAAACACAGCAATAAGCTGACATAATCAGCTTTACTGTCATTCGAAGTACTGTTTAGATAAAATTAGTTTATTTTTAAACTGCGTTATGTTATCTTGGTGAGGTCTAATAACTGCATATAACAAATGTTAGGGATAATATTTGTTTATGTTATGTGTTTCTGAAAAGAACGAGGGAAAAAAATTATCATCCGATATATCGGAGTATTGTAATTTAAAATGCTCAAAAATCTAACTCTGTATTGGTCTTTAAAATGCCGTATCGGTCAGGGTCTAATGTCAATTTGACCTGAAACGATTACTCAATCTACAGAAAGCGATTATTCGTTTCAATGGTTTGTTTTCAAGCAAAAATGGCAGACATCCACTAGTTTCTGCTTTGATTTGCTTCTTTTGTGTGTTTAACATCATTGTAAACTAAATTCTTTGCGTTTTTTACTGTTGTTCAGACAAAACACGCAATTGAAGATGTCAATTTGGGCTCTGAGAAATTGTAATCTGCACTTTTTCTTACATGAAATGATTAATGGGGAATATGATCACCAGATTAATCCATAATGAAAAGTTACAGCACTGATGTCAGTCGGACAAAGGGAATAAATGCGAGAGGGCAAGATAATAAATACACTATTTTCCACTAATCCTCTGCTGCAGACAAAGAGTATTGACCAAAATTGTATCGTAGGCAGAGACGAGCTAAAACTGCAACTTTGACATCTGGTAAATAAGTGCAACCTGTGTTCTCACAACGTGTTTTCTGTTTCTCTGTCAGTCCGCAGAGCGCAAAAGGTCGCAATGACACCTTCTACCTGACTCCTGAGCCAGTGGTAGCGCCGAACAGCCCCATATGGTACTCAACTCAGCCAATCCCAAAAGAGCAGCTGGAGCAGATGCTTGCCCGCATCCTCGTCGTCCGCGAAATCCAGGAAGTCCTTAACATGTCGGAGAGCGTGCACTAGTTGGACTGGAGGACAACAATAAATGGACTAGAGCCTTCCTCTCTCTCTTCACCCAGCCTTTGATTGCTCATTATCAGTAGTTTTGTATTCTCTCAGACCCATCTGTGGTCTTTAAGGGTGGCATGTATATGTTTATATTCCTTCTGTGTCAGCATATCGTACACACACGGACTGTACATACACAGACAACCAATACAGGTGATAATTTGTCTTATCGAGGCAATCTCTCAACCTTACCACAAGTTTTCTTCTTTTTGTTTGGCCAAAGGATGTAGTGTCTAATCTTTTTATTGGACCTGAACTCTAATTTAAATGTTATTTTAACTGTTGGTTCTTATTACCGATAGCCTGAAACAATTGTTAATTATCTGTTTTGTTTTAATCTGTAATATATTTCATATATATATATATTTTCACTGGGGTTGGCCTGCGCTATGCTGCTTTCATAGACATCCCTCTTTGTCGCTCTACTTTCCCACATCTGCCTTGTTAAATCTTGCAGTGAAGACCTCGGTAGTATCAAGACTGCATTAGCCAGACATAGGCTAAACGCTGATTTTCAAGTTGTGTGTGAATTCTCCCTCTTTCTTTGTTTCACTTCATTTGTCAGGACACGCCGAACTCTGAAGGTGAATCACTTGTTTGTGAATGCTGCTTGGGGCTGTAGCGCCTCCTGTTGGCCTAGCTCAGCAGCATTGAATCACACCAGGACATTGACTTTATTGCAATACAGTGCCGCCACTCGACCTGCAGCTACTGGCACTTGTCACATGGAGACATGTCGGAGGGAGGGCAAGGGATGCTGACTGCTGCTGGAGCCTCATTTCTCTCCTCTGTCCATCACCAACCCCAAAACTTACCCGAAGAGGGATCTATTGTATCATACATGTTTATTACATGACAGATGAAAGACTAAAAAAAAGTGGGTTAGCCCTTAATGTTCTATAATGTATAATACTCATAGCTCCTTCATGTACTGTAATAGGTTTCAGTCATCTAAGGAGAATGGCAGTGCCTGTGTGTTTTTGAAACATGACCTTTTTTGTACAGCCACTATACCATGTGTCTGCCTTTCTAGTAAGTCTATCAATCCTGCACATCCCTCCTTAAGTACTGATACCTGCATTGTGTGTGTGATTTTTTTCAAAAAAAAAATCATCTTGCAACATCACTTCAGCGTGGAGTGGAGGCAAACAAAGTTACAAAAACAATGAGCTGTCCAAAAACATTCGGTAGCTGCGCACAGTAGACATTTTGGGTTAACATGAAGAGTGTTTTCCTGTTCCAAGTAACCAAATGTAACTCACAGTCATTGTTCTCGCTAATGACATGGGAAGTAAATAACCGTAGACGAACAGGTTTGACCTGAATGGCAGGCTCTTTCCTTAAGTCTCCCTTCTGGTAACAATACAAACTGCTGCATCTGTGGTTGCTTTACCAGAACTCGTTTGCACTGTTGTCAGGCCAGTTTTGTGTCTGCAAGGTTTAGCATCATACCGCATTCTTATTTCTGCAGTCCTTCTCTTACTTCTCAGATACTGTATGAGGGCTTCTTGTTTTTCTCACCCAGTAGCTTGCTTGTGTCTTGTATGTTTCACTGAGTTCAAGAGGCATGTGAGCCTGGATTAAATAGTGATGAGGAAGGCAGTAACCTCCTCAGTAGGTTCCCAGGGTGTAAAATCTGCTGCAGTGTGTTCTGCGGCGGGTCTGATGGAGGTGTCTGTCGATGATGGTGATGTCTCCTCCTCCCTGAGGAGCTGTGTGATTGATGCTGAGTGTGCTGGTTAATATTTGAACTGGCTCCCTGAGTTTGTGGGCTGTTGGGAAAGAAGACAAGTAGTGAAAATGTCGTCATACATTACAATGACTAATAAACACACTTCTTTCTTTATTCTCACCATGCAGAGGTTCCTCCACTTAGCCAGTGTAGCAGACACTGATGAACAAATATGTACTGCTCCTGAGGACACGAAAAAGAATGAGCAGGTGATGAGGACAGTAGAGCACACAACGTTTTAGCAAGGAGATAATGGAGTGTCATAAGAAAGTAATGAGTAAGTTACAGGTATACATTTACACTTTCCTGTTTCCATAGTAGACAACAGTTTAAACAGGTTATGGTCCATTTAACTTAACTAAGCTTATGATGAGCACATGTGTTTGATGCATTGTCATACAGTACACTAAAGGACTAGTTTAGTGACACTATGCAATTATTAGATTGATACCTCTCATTTTCATCTGTGAAATATGAAGCTACGCCTAGCAACTTAGCTTAGTGTGCTAATCATAAAGACTGGAAACATGGAGAGCAGTTTCCCCACATTTTCAGTCTTTATGCTAAGCTGCTGGTTGTAGCTTTATATTTACCGTACAGACATGAGAGTATCAATCCAACTCTGGGCAAGAAAGCGAATACATGTACCTCTCAAAATTTCCTTAAAATTAGATTTGCTTATAATACTTTGAGAACATTAGATTGCTGATATTAATTTACTCAACAACATTTTGAATCCAAAGACCAAGTCCATAAAAATTGTAATTACATTTACATGGTGTATTAATAATTCTGAATATAATACCCATAAACACGAACTTACACTATATATACTCTTGGAATGGTGCCATTCTGCTTTTACTTTTGATCCTTCCTGCTAATACTTTTGTAGTTTCACATAAGTTACATTTTGAACTTACTGGTAATGGAGTACTTTTTTACTTTGTTATTGCTGCTTAAGTAAAAGATATCACTACTTCATCCACCACTGGAGGTGAGAGTGATTACAGCACTAACCAGATTCTGGACCATGCACATTCGATGTAACCGTAGATCCTCCACAGCAGCCCGGACATTAGGCCGGATGCCCCTCGCACACAGCTGCATCAGCCACAACAATGTCACAAACGTTCCTGAACGCCCCACACCTGCACTGAAACACATAAACAGAGGATTCACTTTAAACACCGTCTCAGATCTGATTGATAAGCCTCTGAAAACGCTACAGGATTTATGCTTTATATTATTAAAAATAAGACAGTAACGGGTTTCTTAAAGGAGAAGGTGATAGGCTGAAGGTCAGACCTGCAGTGCACCACAGCCGGCCCCAGGCGAGGAGTGGTTTCCAAACTCTGCCGCACATGCTCAGTGAAGGTACAGAGAGAAGATGAGTCTTTAGGGACGCCCTGGTCTGGCCAGGAAGGGTAGTAGTAGTGTGTGATTATCCTGGCTGTAGAACAGTCTCTCTGAAACACAAACACAATCCTTTAATCCAACCACAAGGACTTCTTCTTTGATTGATTAGTGGTACGGTCAGTGCACACAGAAGTCAAAAGCAGTAGTTTGAAGACAACAAAGGCGATGATGGATGTGTCTTTCGCTCACCTGTCTTAGGTTAATGGTGGTGATAAAACAATCTGGACCTTGTTTGCGGGTCACTGTCGTCACTTGGATCAGTCCATGATAAACTGTCCCTCGTTCCAAAGGCCAATACTTATCACACAGCACCTGCAAACATACCCAAGGTCAGACCTTAAAGGACATGTTAGGAATTTCCTCATCAGACACATACATTCAAACGTAATGTGTCTTTCTCACTATGTCTTTGTGTTTCAGCGCCGTCACCATGATGATTATCCTAACGTTTTGCTCCCACACCATTCTCCAGAAGTCGGCCATGGTCTTGTGCAAAGGACCCTGGGTGCAGATGAAGTCTCTTTCTGATGCTCCACCCTGAATACAGACATTAACAGATGCAGACAAATGCAGAGACAGGCACAAGACAAACTAATAATGATAATAACAAATTTGCTTGAGGAAGTGAATGAGCTCTTACAGGCACAAAATTGGCGTTGATGTAGTCAGTGTGTGGATTGGAGTTTTGAACAGACAGCCTCACACGACAGTGGTCATCTATGACCAGAAGATGGAAAGCAGACAAATACAAGTCTCACACATTGCAACACACTTGATGTAATCTGCTCTAGTGTGATGAGTTCTGCACTTACATGGCAATATGTAGGGGTATCGGTTCTTTTCTCTGTTTGAATCCCCCGCTCTGGTGGGGAGGTCTTTGCCAACTTCATTTAGCTCCTTCACAGAGCCAAAAACAAGTAGCGCACACGATAAACACTTTTAGCTTCACAAATCAGAAATCCAATCCAAGTTCAATTCTAAGACATACTAGCTACCTCAAACTCCTGTTTAAAGCCTCTGTTGCCATCGGCTGCAAGTGCCTGGCATCGAGAACGAAACTCCTGTAGAATTTGTGATCTTGAGAAAGTTGGCACCCTGTGAAACATGACCGTATTACATTAAACCATTTTAAGACCAGTGATGCACTCCAACAACAAGGATTAATCTGGTGGCATTCTATATTTTTCTTACCTTGCAGCTGAAAACAGACCCCTAATAAATGCACTTTTTACTCAAGTTTGAGTAACATTTTTTTAAAATCCACAATGCACAGCTGTTTTAGGAAATGATTTAGCCTTTAAAAAATTTGCAAATGTAAACACTCATTTACCAGTTTATTAGGTAATCATAACACAGTTGAGTCAACTGAACATTGTAACCTTCATGTGTGAATTAGGAGTGTTGGATTAGAAAGCATTCGTTTTAGCCAGGTGTGCCTGATAAAGTGGTTAACGTAGCAAACGTGCCACAGACTGGTTAGGGAAGTTGGAAAATATTGAGAGACGAACTGACACATTGTTGGTTTTGGTATTTTCACTGGATTTGTTGACATTACCAAAATTATAGATTAGTATCTGCCTCGTCCTTTAAGCATGTTCTCAGGATGCTACAAGGAATTTTGTCCGTACCTCATGTCTTTTCTGGCGGTCAGCCTTGTACTCAGGGTGCTGAATGAGGCCAGAATGATTTCAGTGATGAGTCTGTCCAAAAGATACCAAATCATGTATCATAAAGCAAGAAAGTTTAGAACTCCCCCCCCCCCCCCACACACACACTTTAAAAAAGGAATTTGTCCTCATAAACAGAGAAATGTGACACTAGAAAACACACAATTGTGCATTTGAGAGAACAGCAGTTACATATGTAGTGAAGTCAAGTGCTTTCACAAATTAGTTTGCATTTGTTTATGCCCTGAGGCAGATGTGTTTGAAATTTTTTTTACTGAATCAAACTAAGAAAATGTTTCATTTTAATCCAACTACGCCACTTGTCTACTGGCCCCATAATAGTAGAAAGGCACACTTAACAAGAAGCAGCTCAACATTCATACAGGACAATAATAATGTAACACTGCCCCGACTGGAAATAAAACCTGTTCCAACAAGTTGTCAACCCCAAACACCACCAACACACAGCAGAAGAACCAAACACAAAGTACCAACAGCGTCAGCATTATATATTTGTTTCAGGATTACCTTTCCAAATGGGAATGATGCTTTACATCTGCCACAGGCTGAAGAGAAAGAGAACTGTACTGCTCCAAGTAATCTGGTCTGATTACAATACAACATTGACGATGACAATACTCTCTCTCCCTCCCTCTCTCTCTCTCTCTGGGGAGGAGGAAGTATGATGGGTGTAGACAATGGGTGGAGAGAGGAACACTATATGTCCGCGAGGCATGTCATGTATGATGCTATTCTTTGTACTCGCCTTGCCATTCCTCGCACTTTGGAAACAATTCTTAACTTCTAGGAAATCTCTTCTCTTCTCAGAACAATTTCTTCTCTTTTCATTGTAGTTTTCAGGTTCAACCTGAGAGTTGCTGTAACTAAAGCCATGTGAGAGTGTAGCTCATGATTTTTTATTCACACTTCAGAGTGGACTTTACCAGCACTGGACACGTTTGTGTATAGTTTAACACATATTTTGTGTTATTTCTTTGAAATGCATGTTGATTAAAGGCCTCCCAGTCTTGTCTTTCTGTTGTTATGGTGACGTATCAAATGCTTGTGGTGTTGCTTAATCTTGTGAATGAAGTTCTGTGCATCAGCAGGTTACATGGAATGGGACCCTGAAGACGTCAGACATAAACATGAGATGATATGATTTTAGAACAGACCTGTGAACATGTCTGAATTGCTGTTTAAGCTCCTCATCTCAGTTCACCACTGCAGCAGTATTCTTGGTGTCTTATCAGTCCACGAGAGCTGTACACAATAATAATTTAGCCTGATATCTTGGTACAACATTTATTACAATAAGGACAATCCCTATATAGGCCTACAGACACAGAGGTTCCCAAACTGGGGTTTAGGGTCCATTATAGGCCCTTCATAATGTCCTAAAAGATATTGAGTGATAATAATTAGTTCAAAAGTAACAATACCACAATGTGAAAATTCCCCACTTAGAGTAAAATCCCTGCATTCAGAACCTCCATCCATCCATCCATCATCAACCGCTTATCCTGCGTACAGGGTCGCGGGGGGCTGGAGCCAATCCCAGCTGACATCGGCCGAAAGGCAGTGTACACCCTGGACATGTCGCCAGTCTTACTGGTACTTTATATACTGTTGGGTAGTTTAATCTACAGCAACGCATCATATTCTATAAGATCATCCTATCTTTGCAGCATTGCTATCCTGTGAGAAACAAGTATCTCTAAAAAGTCAACTTTTCATGAGCTCAGAAAAACAGACCTGTTTTTTTGCTCAGGTTTAGGCTATGTAGTGTGTGTGTGTGTGTGTGTGTGTGTGTGTGTGTGTGGGGCTGTTGAATGCTAATCTGTTTATTTAGCTTAAAAAGTAGGAGACTTTCTCAATCCATAAATGAGCACTCAATCCTTCAGTTTATCAAAAAAAAAAAAAAAACTTAAAAAACCAACCAAATTTGAACGTGGTTTTCACTGGACAGGAAGAGTATTGATAAAAATGTGATCTGAAAAATAGTAGGCCTAATTCTGTCAGACTATGTATTGGAGTAAAAAGTAAAACAGTAATTGGTAAGTTGCATAAAAAGTACCCTGAATGTGTAGCCTACTTAAGTAACGTTAAAGTACATTTTAAGTAGTCTGCATTATAGGGTAACATCGGGTATGACGTCCCCTGGAGTAAGATGCCCCCACCAGTGTAATTCTAACAAAAACCACAACATGTAAAAAAAATAAAGACAATTCTCTGTTTCATCACAATATTTTAAAGTTATCTGATCAAAGCCATTCTGACATAAGTTGATCAAATTTATTAGTCATTTAAAATAAACTGTAAATTTAATTTATTCAATTGTGTTCAATTTTTATGTATATGTATATTTACATTAAGGGAAGCCTTAAGATAAGTTATGTAATTGTTTAGAGCGAAATATTTTTATATTTTTTCGTGTAGTAAAATGCTAGATTAGCATTTTACTACCCCCCCCCCCCCACGATGACCTTGTCCCTTTACAGTTGATCATTTGTAAGTTCAATGTTATATATACTTTATATACAGTCTATGATATACAACCGTAAAAGGTGTAAACAGGTGACCGTCCGAAAATACGGCGGACTGCGCCTGCGTGTTTTCAGGAGAAGCGCCTGGTTCTGTTTTCGCTTTTGATCGCCTTGATGACCACAGTCTGAGTCTCGTCGGGCGGCGGTAGAAAAAGGAAGTTATTGCGGAAACCAGAGAAAACGCAGGTTGTTTGTCGACAACGTGAGGTATTTAAGTACAAGGTAAACCTTTTACATTGCAGTCTGTGAGATAACAAAGCGCGAGGGAGGCAGAAATGCAAATATTTCACTTTCCAGAAGTACCGACTTGATTAAGTTGATAGGTCGCGCGCGCTTCCTGGTCTGTTGGACGAGAGTGAAAGATAGATAGAAAACTAAAGTCAACATGTCATTCACACAGAGCAAACAACGCTGCGAACCGACAGACATGGACCATGCACGGCCGCAGGACACACAGCAGAGCAAGGTAAATCCGTAGACTGGGGAAAGCCCATTTCCTGGAAGTGAAGAGCTGGCACAATGCTGACAGTAGTCATGTGACCTCCCCCCACCTCCTGACCAAACATTTATATTTAATCTTTCATAACAGAGCTGAATCATTAACAAAAGGCTAGAACAGGACACCAACAAGAACTGTTGTTATCTCATCCATTAAAGTAAAACCACAGGAGATACGAAAAGTTAAATTTTAAGCACATGCAAGCACTGTCACACATGTATACACACATGCATACATTAAAAAAAAAAATATAATGATGATAGGGTGGTTCTGTATACTTTTGAGCACTAAACACGTTTATTTTCAAGAAACTGAGTAATATTAAGCTAACACATTTTATTTTACTGCAATTTCACAGCGTAATGACAGAAAGTGTGAGGTTGACTATTTTTGAAAACATAACATCACTGCTCTTAATACTCAAGAGTTTACTATTGGTCAAACGATATGGGTTTTTCAATGGCAGATGCCGATGCCGATATTTAGAGAGTTTATTCCATGCAGAGAACAATCTAATATACACAGTTATCTTAGCCAGTACCATGTTGTTGTAGATGGAAATTTTATTAATTAATGAAATAGGAAAATATATTGGGTTATGCAGTAGATTTGAACGTGACTATATTTCAGGCTCCAGTGAGCATTAAAACATCTAAATGTTTCTAAGAAATTTGCATTGAAGACATTTCTGCGTTATTTGTATTATATCTAGTGCTGCAACTAGCAATTTTTAAATTATAGATTAATCTGTCCATTAATGTTTAGTCTATAATATGTCAGAAAATAGTGAAAAATGTCCATCAGAGTCTGCCAAGGTCCAAGGTGACGTCTTAATATTGCTTGTTTTGTGTGACCAGCAGCCAAGAACCAAAACACATTCAGCTAGTAATTATTCAAAGTAGCAAATCCTCACATTCAGAGGCTGGACTATTAAATTAGATTTCAAATTAATAATTTTTTTCAGCTCTAACATTATTGTATGCTGCCTGTACTGTAGCCATAATAATTGTGATTAACGTGGTGCTTTCTTTCTTTCTTCAGGGCTCCACGTTGCGGCACAGGGAACACAGTGATGAGTCTGTCGACAAGAGGCCCACTGACAGCTCAGCGTCTCCCAGTCCGGTACGTCCTGCTATCAGATGTCTCAAATTGACATTTTTAGACTGTACAATTGCTCTGCTCTCCTTGTAAAGTACCACAGTGTGATGAAATTGTTTACCCCGGGTCCATTCAGGATGAGAAGAGGCTGATCAGAAGAGTGCGAAGTCCATCCAGGCCGAGGGCATGGCTGTCCAATTCTTACAAACCGAAGTTTGGAGGGCGAGTCTACAGACCGCGGTAAGATTGACAGGTCAAGAACAGGGAGACGTTTGTATTTAGTTTTTCCTCACAACGGGTTTTCATTTCACTTTATCGCAACAATTGACTTATTTGTTTATTTTTTTTACAAAATATTGATGGTGAGGTCGTGGAGTGACTCTGGCTGCTCTGAAAGCTTCTTTTTCCCCTTCTCAAATGATGTAGTTTTTCAAGGGATGACCACTCATTCTACAAACCTGGCTTCAGCAGCCAGAGGTACCACCACTTCAGCCCACAGGGTTACTCCCACCGGCGAGATCATTTTCCTCCAAAGCTTCACCACGTCCCGCAGAGGGAGAGGGACCACGAGAAGGAGGAGCGGTACGAGCAGAGAGAGAGCGCTGATGGGAGCTCACCTCCAAAGCAAAACACCTGTAAGTTTATGTCCGCAGCAGATGTCTGTGAGGAAAACACCAATAATACACATGATACTCACACCCCCTTCATCTCATTTGAACATTTATTTAGATATAAGGTGCTTCAAGACTTTGACAAAATGTTCACTATAGGGCCAATGCAACGTTCAGTACTATTTTAGACCACATTCCCTGTTTCAACATGACAGTTCCCCAGTACACAAAGCGAGGCCAGTAAAGAAATGTTTTTCTGAGGGGGATGTTGAAGAACGTGACTGGGCTGCACAGAGCCCTGACCTCTGCCCCATCCAACATCTCTGGCAATGGATACGATGGCCTCAGCTATTCTTTGTACTCACTGTGTCCACACAATCTCACTGAAACTCTTGTTCAGTGGCGCTGGCTTTGCACGATTTTTCATAGGCCCTATTCAGCACACTGTATTAAAGACAACTGGGATTTTATAGGCCAGATTTTCAAATGAGATACATTTGTAAGAATTTGTAAGAAGAGATGATGTTTCCCTTTGGTGTTACGGGATGTGTGAGGCTGCAGGACTTTCAGGACCATACCTAATGAAAGTTCAAACCGGGCCATCACAGATTTAATATAGCAAGCTATTTATTTAAATTGAATTGGTCCCTAAATTGTGAGGCTCTGTGGCGTCACAGACAAAAACGTTGAAACTACTGGAATATTACAAGAGTAAGGCTAATGATTTGGGTAATGAAAGGACAGCAGGGCCACATAGACAGGCCATACACAGCAGACCTTTTGAATTCCATCGTTAATGTTATTAGTAACACCTGTTGTTGTGTGCTGTTTACCTCCAGTATCATCCACACACACAGATAAGACATGTAATAGTAATTATGATAGATATGAGTTGCTTTGGTCCAACCCAGCCTTTATGATATGCTATGATATCTGGCTACTTGCTGTACTTCATATTTACCGTACATACATGAGTGGTATCAATCTTCTCATCTAACTCTCAGCAAAAGTTTGAACAACAATTTTCCAAAATGTCAAACTATTTCTTTAATTGCTGCATTTTTGGAACGTGATTTTTCGGTGGAAACATACTATTAACCATATTGTGTTATAATGAATCTGTGAGTTTATTTTCAGCTTTACCTTACAAAGCAATGAATACACCCTGAATGTGTAAATCTGTAAACAGAAGAACACGTGCTGCCTCTCTCACACACATGCGCAGTTAGACACAGTCACAGAAGCGCATATACACTATAATACAGTTTAATATGACAACACCACAAACCACAGCCTGAAAAATGGTCATTTATATAAACAAATAACCCCCGACACAGTCCCAACAAAACCAGCATCTTTTATAAAAGACCATATTTATACATGCATATACAGTATATTTAAATAATGTACTTAACAAGCTGTATGGTATCTTCTTGTACTTTATTAAATGACCATTGGGTGGCAGTATAAGGAAGCAGAGCCAGAAGCGTTCACATTTTCATGAACACTTTGCATTGCAAATATTTGGAGGGCATTTGCTCATCGTGGTATCTGGTGGTTGATAGGTAGTCACACTCTGGTAGCAACAAACCAGTGTTACATAATGCTGATCACAAAGAAGCTTTTCCTGGACTCAGTAGATGGATGATGTCAATGCTCTTACCACTGAATTGAGAGTAGTCCAGCCATTATAGTGTGTGTCTTAGTATGTCTCTTGTAAACTGTGTAATTTAGTTACAGGTAGATTTATTAGATACCTAGATTATTCGTCAGTGGGAAGAGTCTGGAAGTAAACATGAGGAGTTTAAAATTTGTTACACTTATGTTTCCCTGGTTTTAACACTAACTGGGAAGTCCATGTTTTTGTTGGTCTTTTTGCTGGTAATAAAGTAGTGTGTTGTTTCTAACAACTGAGCTGTTGGTACTGTATGTTTTTAAAAAAAATCTTCTCTTGCACTCAGGCACTGTATGTGTGCGCACACTGCAGCACTGTGGAGGTGTGTGTTTGTGTATGTGTGAATGTGGAACAGGTTTTTTTTGTGTGCCTGAGTGATGGTGCGATGATGGTGACTCATCGCTGATTTGTGTGTATATGAGAGTGCGAGAGAGAGGAAGAGAAAAAGAGAGGCAGAGACTAGCCAGCAGTATATAATGAGCTATAAAAAAAAAAACTATTGCTTCACATAGGAATACCGCAATCCAGCGTTTCAAGGCAAAATTCCAGAATATCAGCAGATTCTGCTTGAAGATATATTGATTTTTGAAAAAATTACAAAACATTTTTGTAACAGCAGGCTGAGGAGAAAGGGAGAATGATTAGGTGGCTTTAAACATCAATAGTGACCTAAAGATACACCTATAGATGTTGTTGTGTTGACCATGTGGTTTGTCTGTTTTCCAGCTACTAGAACTTTCCTACCAAGGTCCACTTCCAGCAGAGACAAGGACATGCAGTTCACTGTAAGTGCACATGCAGAAAACCTGCTCTGCTCTTCCCCTTGTCATTTTCCATTTTGTCATGAAAAATATAGTGGTCCACCTATTCCTTAAAAATAACCTTATATACTTTCAAAATAACGATTTGATGTAGGGCAGCACATTATGAATTGTATTATTGTGACCTGATTTATAAGAGCTTTGGACAGTTTTATGCTAATTAGCAAATAAATACATTTGAAGATGACCTTGATTTCATGTGCAATATGCACCCTGAAAAAATCTGGTAGAAATAAGGCCTGCAACTTAAACAATTATTTTCATTATCAGTTAATCGGCTGATTTATTTATTTGTGTGTTTATTGTAGATGCTGTTCTCGTTTGTTCATTAGACATGAGCTGATAGCAGAGACGGATGTAGCTATAATGCAAACGGCCCAGGTGCTGCAGAAAAGGCTTAAATCAAGTGGCCACGTACATTTCTTGGCTGACCTAAACACAACATAGAGCAGAGCAGCACATGGTGAATCACCGCTGGTCACTGCTGCAGTGAAGTTAAAGTGAAGAGAGGAAGAGGAATCAAAGAATAACTGGCTTGTTTCAGATTTTGAGTCATCTAATGAAGCTGTTTTATATATTTACACACATATATATCTATCTATCTATCTAATTGGGAAGTAAATAAACTATAACCCTTTTATTAATGCTTTATTAATAATTTACCAACATGTACAACTGCAGAATTGATGTTTATTAGAAGATGAGTAAATAAGTAACAAATTTTTTTTTAATAAAGCTAGCTGCTACAATTTATAAAACCTTTGTGCACTATGACTTATTAGGTAAGTAGTACCAGTTTTATTTTTGTGATATAACACCCCTATTGACTTCTTTTAATCAGAATCAGCTTTTTTACTTTATAAGTAGGTTTACACATACAAGGAATTTGCTTTGGTGTTTTGGTGCTTCACAATAAAAAAACAGAAAGTAGAAAAATATAAGAAAGAAATACAGAGGAAGTATGGTAGGTCTAGTAAGCCTAATATAAAATATAAATATATATAAAATTGCCATGTTTTGCCACTGAATACATATGCAGTCCGAACAGATTCTGAATTTATAATCCACTTGCCTCAGTGTTACAAGTTGGCATGTGGAACTTTGCGTTTAGTCATCTTCTGATCATTAGCAGCTCAGTCATCATCAGTGTTTGCGCCCATGTTTTTGGCCAACTGTCTGATTACTACAGTCCAACTCTTGTCCTGTTTGTTCTTTTGTTTTGTTTTTTCTTCCCTTTTGCAGGTTTGTCAGAACGACAAGAACCAAAGCAGGGAGAGAGATCACAGGGGGACCAAAAGCAAAGAAAGGGAACGAAGCAGAGACGGGGAGCTTCCTTCAACTGCGAGCCAGACGGTGACACGAGAGAGAGCCATCCAACAGAAGAGGAGAGAGATAGACGAGGTAGAGGAGTGTCAGTACACAAACACGCCATGGGAGAAGGGATAGTTGTAAAAAAAGATAGAGGAAGAGGAAAGATAAGAGAAGCTGGGATTAGAGAATAGAGTGACAGGGGAAAGATCTTGGAAGGTGCTGGGAGACATGAGACAAGAAAAAAAGATTTGTTCTCTGTAGTCTGAACATTAATTTTGAAATCCTGAGCCTAAGGCAACTTGAGTGTCATTACTGTCTTCACTTTGGCAAGCCAGACAAAGAAGGTCTTATTCATTGTTGACATGATTGATGGCGTTATTTATTTAGGTTAATAAATTGAGCAAAAACGCAAAGTGAGGCTGTTTATCCTTGCTCACCTGTATCACAAGAGGCTCCAACATGTGCTTTAATGCTGTCGTCAATGTGACAGACATCACATGAGGCTCTGCTCATTGGCTGTGTGTGTGTCTGTGTGTGTGTGTGTGTGTGTGTGTGTGTGTGCGCGCGTGTTTCCACCCACTTGACGGAAAAGATGACCTCTTGCTTTTCATATCTCCATGGTTGCAGGATTATAGAGTCAATGTGAGAAAGGCAGACTGGCAACAGGTAGCTAATGCAAAAAATGTCCACAAAACTCTGTATACAGGCACACACAATACTTGTGAACAGGTTGCTTGTGAGTGGTTCTGCGGATTGTTAATCCATTCAGCGGTAATTGGAAATGCTTGACAAGACTTCTCACTCGACTCATTTGTTGTGCTCTCTCCCTCCAACACTCCCACTTTAACTTCTGTTTGGTGATGTTTCCCCCTCCCTCTCACTCTTTGAGTATTTGCCCTAAAACCAATGCATGTGTGTGTCTTACAGATGTACTATCAGGAATGTGAAATGTTTGGCCTTGTGGCAAAGATGCTGATCGCAAAGGATCAGTCCCTGGAGGGTCCCATCCAGTCCTCTCTGCAGGAGAACCTCAGGGACATCGGCAAGCGCTGTGTGGATGCCATGGAGAAATTTATAGAGGACTATGACTCCAGGGAGCTGTCTCACTAATCAGACACACACGCATCATGCCGAGCATAAATCCCACTGGTTAATGTTTTGAGAATGTGATTTCAGGTAACTAAAGGCTGCTTTTGTATATTATTTTTATGTTTCATAGTAGATGTAAAAAGCTTGTACATTCCTGCGTGCAGCCTGGACAAAGTCGCCCTCTGTGGCCAGCCTTATGATGAGCACTGAGCAACGCAGGTGATCTGGGCATTTGGTAATGCTTCTAATTTTGAGAATGGTGATGATGATCCAAAAATACACTGGTTGTATTATTTAAAGTGTCCTAATGAAGAAGTCAAAAATACATTTTGACATCTGTGTAAAGTGCTGAATGTTTTATGCACTTGCTTTTCAATAAATATATTTTGTATTCAGATTAAACATCTTGCAGTTAAAAGTTGTTTCAGTGACTCATTCAAGGCTAGATGGGCAAGACAAAATCCAGTTGTAGCAGGAACAACCTTAATGGGTCAGTAGGGGACCGGGCTGCATGTTGTTTAAGTTTAGGGTTTAAGTGCTAAGTTAAGTTAAGACTTAAGTGCAGGTTCCTTCTCATGTTTGATCCAAAGCCTGACTGATGCATGAGCATGGCCGATATTGGCTTATCGCACTAGAAATATCAATATCAGCGTAAATGTCATCTGAAAAATAGCAAGAAATTGCAGCACCGAAATACCAAAGATGTCTTTGAGGTTATTCAGGAACACACCAGAGTGAAGGGAAGTTTATTTTTCAACGGTAAAATATCCTGCTCTGTACGTATCTTAATCACAATTCAGTTTACTCATCAAGAGGATTCCAACTCAGCCTTGAAAACAGACTTTTTGCTATATTTAACACAACCCTCCCCTCTTTAGCTCTGTTTGAGATACTGTCCTCATCTGCAGGAATAATATTCTATCCACATTGGAGGCAGTTAACACCACAAATATTTGAAAAGTCTGTTCTTTACTAAATAGGCTGCTAATTGTTATTTTTGGGTCTCAACAGCCATGCCTTTGAATTGGACAGAGAGCAAGTTTATACATACTGTACATGACTATTTTCATTGTTGTTTATTGTTGTTTTTGCTAAGATACAGTAGCATTCTACTTTGTGTTCTTCCTTCCAGTAGGGTTCAAACTCTCAACACCTTTTGTCCATTACAAACATTTTGTACAGATTCAAATTATCCAATGTTACAAATGTATTTTCCTGCATTTTGAATATACATGAATTTTATCTTGATATATTTTCTGGCACAAGTACTTTGTATTTTATTTTGATATATTTATTTGAAGGAGTATTTGGTAACAGGATACATTTTGCTGGATCTTCGCCCATCTCTGGTCACAACCTCAGTACAACTTACAGAATACGAGTTGCTGGTTATTGAATGAAGTACACTTTATTTTCAGTATGAGACAACACCAACAAATTAACATGCAAGTCTCCCTATCTCTACATCATGTTATACAAATAATGATTCTTTAGTTACAAAATATATAAATATTTAAGACCATATGTACATTACATTTACATTACTACATCCATTACTTTATTAAGTTTATTACTATATATACATTTAACAGATATTATTCTTTAATATTATCATCATTATTATTTGCATTATTATTATTATTGTCAGCATTAATATTGTCATAATTATTCTTAATCATCTATAGGTAACTCAAAAAACAAAGCATGTTGCAGAAGAGAAAACGGGACCATACCTGACGTTACTGTGCCTGAATGGTCAAGGAGCAGAGGCTGTCCTTGGTAAAGCATGGAGAGCTGGCTATGTAGAGCACAAAGTTCAACAGACTATTTGTACAAGGTGATAACAGGGCTAGCGAGCCAACACTATATTCCAGCAGCATTTGGATTCCACTGAGGTAAACAATGACATAGCTTGGAATCTAGCACGTAACTTTCACTATCCCAACACAATTTCTGGTTTGTCCACATAGAATAAGTTTTACTGCCCAAGGCTTGGATCACTGAGCTGCAGCATGAACAGTCAGATCGCTGCACTTTGCCCAGTTTTACTTCCCTTTTCAAACTGTAAAGGAATTGTTCAAGCTCTCTGTAACATGGATACACGCACAGACACGCACACACATCATATTATTTACCTCAACCACAGTATATTTAGTAGTCGAATTCATCAGTGCGTCCTGGTACCATCAGAGGAGTTGATCTCTAGCACTGTAAACATTTCTGTTGTGTAAGTCAGCTGAGCTTCCTCTTATGATTAGATCATTCTGTGTAGGTGTACACAAACACTACCCAGTGTAGAGTTGTGTAAGCTCACAAGCACATAAAATAGGCCTTTTCTCTCTTCAACCCCAACACACACACACACACACACACACACACACACACACTATTCACTGTCAGCTGTCTCACTCTCACCTTCCCACTCCCTCTCTTCCACCTCTCTGTTGCTTTAACCATCTCCTTACCTCCCTCTCTCTCATTTCTTTCACTCTCCTGCTCATCCCTCACCATCTCATTATCTCTATATCTAGGAAATTATGCAGTTTTTGCTCTTCCTCCTCTGGCGGGTGTGCAGCTGGCCATGAATCGGTCCGTGCAGAGGTCCGTGATGGCCACCTATCCCAGAGGGGCTGTAGCGATGGCGCAGCTCCTCGTTGTTGATGTAGCACAGCTGCACAGGCCGAGGGATTGGTTCACCCAGGAAATAACCCTCATCTCCCTCAGACTCGGAGGAAGAGGAGCAGCTGGAGCACCAGGGGTCAGCAGCCTCCATGTACCCATCGCCCCAGCATGGCCCGCCCAGCCCCGCTGGTTGCCAGCCAGCATTCTGCAGGGTGAGATCGGAGGTGGTGCGGGGGCAGGGCCGGTGGGGCTGCTGTCTGCACCCACCTGGCTCCAGACCAAACAACTCCCGAGCAGCATTACCAGAGGGGAAGCGATCGTAATCCTCCTGGACGCGACGGTAGGGCAGCTCTACCATTTGAGCAGGCCGGTCTGCCACCAGGTGCAGGGCATTGTCAGAGCGGGAGCGGCGAGAGCGTTTGTGGTGGCGGCCACTGCGGTGCTGCCCATTACCATGGTTTCCGCGGTGGTGTTTACGACGTCTTTGTTGTGGCTGCTGTTGCTGCGACACGGGTTCCTGACCATTGATGCGTCTGCGAGGCATTCTGTCGCTCATGGGAGCCATCCGCAGGTTTCCACTGCTGCCCATCACCCCAACACGACCTTTGCCATCAAAGCCCAGCGGCTGCGGGCCGTCCCAGTACTGTAGCGGGTAGCCGACTCTCAGTGGAGCATACATGTTATTGTTGTAAGGGCGAGAGGAGGACAGTGACTCAGTGCTGTGGAACTGGACTGAGGAGCTGAGGGTGCCCATGTTGCTCTTTTCAGATACGTTCACACCCGAGTCTTTACTCAGATCCGGCATGGAGAACCTAGACAAATGCTCCTGACGTTTACTGCCCCCATCCAGAGAATTACCTGTTGCAACCATAAATGACATGTCACATTTTAATTCATTTGGCATTATATCATATTATTTCATACCGTATCATTTACTGTACCTGTAGCATTGGACATAGTAAGGGAGTCCATGGATCCACGAGGAGTCTGTTCTAGTGGAGTGAGAGGCTCATTGAAGCTCATTGCAGTGATGGGGTTCCTCCTGGTCAGTGGGGGTCTGCCATCTCTCTGGAATCCATGCAGGCTGATGCTCCTCTTGTCAGAAAAGCCCTGGTTCTGGCTAGACATCTCATTGAAGCTCATCTGGGTGCGTAGCTTGTTGGGCCTGAACTCGTCCTGACTGTGGTGGGTCCAGTTTTCATTAAAAGAGTGGCCCCTCAACGCAGCCATAGGGGTCCTCTTAGCGTTGCCTTGTTCCTTACCCCAGGAATCAGGTCTCTTCACTGGGTTGGCAGGACTCTGAGCTGGGGGATGAGCGTTTGCGTTGGGATTGTAGCCCTGTCTGAGGTTACACTGACCCAGCAGATGTATAGGCGCTGGCGTAGGGGAGGGCTCCCGCTGGGGGCCCTCATAGGCAGCCGGAACGTAGGGGTCATCCCGACTCATCCACACCTGGTTAAGGCTCGGGGCACGGCTCGGAGTGCGGCTGGGTGTGCGGTTAGGTGTCCTGCTTGGGGTCTGGCTAGAGGAGAGGCTTAAACGATCCATCTGAATAGAAAGGGGGTCGCTTTCAGCAGACAGACGGTCAGGCATGGGAGGAGGAGCCGACTGGCGGGCCTCGGCACTCCGCCGCTCCTGCTCAGCATTCCTGCGCTCCTTTTTCCCAATCTTTGTGCTGTGGCGGGATTCACGGGAACGGGCACTTTGGAAGGCGGAGTCTGAGGAGTCAGACTCATCTGGATCCTGATTGGTTCAAATAAAACATATTAGTACAATTATTAAACTGCTAATATGTAAACATACTGTTATATTGTAATCTAAATTTTTAGTTACCCACCTGTCCAGCGCTGCAGGACCGTGAGCAGAAAATCTGCCCCTGCTTTGGCAGGAAGGGGCGGCCCAGTAGAGAGCGCTTGCAACGGGCGCAGCAAAAACATTCCTCAGTCGCGTGCCAGTGCTGCCCATCATATGTCATCTGGCCTTGGTCAATGCCTTTGGAAAGATGAGAAAAACATTAACATAATTTCACATCATCCCAGAAACAAGTTTATTAGTAAATAGCCTTAACTGCCTAAAAATGGTAATGTAACGACAGCTATCTCTACTATGAAAATGTTATTCTACAAAGTCTGTGTGGCCAATGAACACGGCCTACAATCTGATTTTAGCCATTAGCCAGTAGGTTATGCTCATTTTTGCCAGATATGCCTTTTAGTGCTAAAATGGAGTTAATGCATAAACAGAGCTCCTAAAATGAAAACATATTGGATTCTATGCCCATGCTTGATCACTCGATTTGTAAGATAGCACGACTACATTTCACCAACCCTGCTCCCCAGCTAGGGGAAGTAATCATCTTTCACAGCTCCCATCTGGATACAACACGGGAGCATCCTCTGAAACACACTCCTTCACTGTTACTGGAGCTTGGGATGATAATAACCATCCACATCTCACTGCACTGACTCCGCCTCTCCACAGCTGTGGCACACAAGTCTCACAGAGCTGATAACACCCACACTTACAATAAATAGCTGTTAGAGGTTTTCTATGATGTTAGGGTAAGAAAAACAAGTCAGTGTGTTGTGGTAACAGTTCATATGTGTTAGAGGACAGCAGAAAAAAAAACTACAGTACCTATGTGTTCTCCACATGCGTCACAGTACTCTGCATAAAGGGACTCGAAGCAGTTGCAGCAGTGTGGCCGTCCGTCCTTCATGATGTATCGCTGGCCGCCAAGGGTGGTCTCACACTCGTAGCAACAGAAGTGCTTCATGTGCCAGTGCCTGCCCTCTGCCTCAGTGCATTCATCAGCAAAGATTATCTGCGTGAACCATACATTACATTCATCAGCGAGGATATTCTACACAGAGATTCCATGAAATTGAATGGAGAATGAGTTAAGTAAAATGAGTGATGAATTTGAACTGGTTTTAAATTGGTTCTACACGTCTTTACGGAGATGAATTGTTGCTGTTGAAGAAGAAAAATCACATTCTCTTTTCATTATATTCTTATGTTACCCCCAGGACAGCGGTACATGTACATGGGTTTCCAATTAATCCAATGGAACTGATGATCTAGGCATCCTACCGTAATGTCTTTTTATTACATTTAAATATTATAAATATATTACTAATTTTAACATTTCAAATATATCCAAAATTATTGTTATTATAAAAATGTCTTTACCTCACTATCCTCCAATGTCATCAGCTGTCATATCAGATAAGCATGTTATGTCACTTATACGGAAATATTAATGAGCTAAAGAAACACATAATTTGTATCAAATAAAAATGTCCCCCAGTGGAATACAAGTGGGCACCTGGTCTACTGCATTTTATACAAACAACTTCAATTAGTACACAGCACTGTGGCCAGAGTTATTATTGTTATCTCAGGCCTGCTTGCCACACATTATGGTTAGAAAACAAGCAGACATTCTGAGACACGGCAAGAATACTAAGAAATCTTTTCTCTCCAGACCAGTTTTAACCACATCCAAGTCCCTGAGCTATGAACCATTCAGCCATTTCCAACCGTGAAGGGCTCCAGGCCCAGACAGGCGCACCTCATCACAGGCACAGCAGCGGGGCTTCAGCCTCTCGGCATGGTGCCGGCCACA